TGAGAGCTTCATGTTTGTTTAATCATTTTCAATATTCATAGAAAAGATAAGTCAAACGAGCCTTCCAAAAAAGTATTACAAAATAATATAAAATTTTTTTTTATCAATTGTGTAACGATTTTGTGACGTTCAACGTTTCCTCCTGTTGTTTATATGGCCTTATATATGACGGAAAGAAAAACCTGTAGTCCTAAAAAATAAATTACTATGAATTTATATAATAAACCATTTTTAAAAATTACAGGTTTTCTCTTCCCGTCACTTATATGTGTATTACTAATTTCAAACCATCATGAACAATTTTGAACTGTTTTGGGCATGTCAAAAAATGTCCAATCAAAAAAATTTAATTGGACACGTCCGATTCCAATCACTGGGTTAAGGGTTAGTGTAATTTATAAGAAAAAACTTTTCTGTGAAATACGCTGTCGGCAAAAGCTTGTTGTAAAATAAATTGTCTACTGTATATATCGAGAATTGAATTTTTGTAAAATAAACGTGTTGGTGAATTGATTGTCGGTGAAGTGTTGTGCCTACAAAACGAGGAGTTATCTAAAGTCGTGCGAAATCATGTGATATTGCGCAATCAAATTATAGAAATTTAATTCCTGGTGAAGCAAAAAAAAAAGAAACCCTTAAAAACTACAAAAACAGTAGTCTAACTATCTTGGGTGTATCAGTGTTGGTATTTGGACTATATCGAATAATAAAAATTTTATTTGGACTTGGACAAAATATGGACATGAACTAATCCAAATAGGACCTGTACCCGTATTTATACGGAATATTTCGGAGAAGCAAATAAGCGCCTTTTCCGAAAATTCTGGTGATTATCAAATAAAGTGCAAATCTTTAAAACAATTTAATGTTACACTTGAAAGCATGAAATATAATCGAAATTTATCGAAACATTGACAAAAATAATCGAAATATTTGACTGTCCCTACTTATGTCCAATAGAAAGTGTGGACATAGTCCATGAATTTTCATGTCCAATGGTCCATATTGTCCGTGCCCATATTTTGCCAACACTAAGGTGTATTGATTAAAAATTCCGGGAAGGCAATTTTGCTTATATAAAAATACCTCTAACCCTAACTATAGGTTAAACTCAAATACAATTAATTCAATAAAAATATCCATTTCGCTTTAGCATCCCTAAATGAGAGTCGGTGGAACCCGGTAATTGCGCATGAATTTGGTAAACAAAATCTGTTGTGCATTGAGGATCAATATTACCATTCATTATTCATCTTCCTTATTTGGAACCTGCATTGATTAATTAAGCGTAAATTTTTTGAAACACAATGAAAAGAAAGCAACGAAACTGTAGTTCAAATCCATCTTGATGCACTAATAAAAATTTTTGAAAGTGCAATTTTGCCTATAATATCTTTTCTAGTCATGAATTCAAATAAATACAAACTTGAATTTTATATATTTCGCATCAGATATCTCCAAATAAGGCAACTCAAAATATTTGTCCTCAATATTGATCTGCACGAGATAGGTTGAGCCCCGTTCTCTATATTTTTTATTTATTTCTTTTAATATTTAATACCTCTGATTTCAAACAGAATTCGATAATATCAAAAAAAAAAAAAAAAAAAGTGCTAGTTAAAACATGTCTGGTGAGTTCAAACAGCTATTGTGGTTATTGTAGTTGTGATCAGTAAACTTGAAGTCTCATAACATGTTTAGATTTTCCAGAAAAAATAGAATCTTGTTATGCATTACCGTATGGTATATTTGGATTTATTTGCTGGATTTTATCATTATTATCAAATTTTTTTATTGTATTTGGTAACTTACCACTATTCACTCCATGGCAATGGCGTGACAGGACTTATAAATCACAGAGCCTATTCTTTGCTTTTATCGCATTTCTTATGACTATTGGGCCAACCATTTATACATGTCTACGTTGTCGTGAAGAATGGATCTTAATAGTTTTGGCTGTTGGGCAACTCTCTCCATGGGCATTCAAAATAGTAAATGATGCCATGGCATCTAGATCAAATAATGATTTTGGTCGTGACAAAATTTACCTTGCATGTGGAATTCCTTTATCAATTTTACTGTCTCTTACTGGATGGACCGGTCTGATAGCATTGATTATTAAGCTGGAACATACGCAATATACAGTTAGTCGTATGGTACTTTTTTTATTTACACCATTCTTATTTTTGATATGTATACCATATGTGAAGGGAGACTCAAAAAAAGCTATTAGATTGATGATCTGTTACGTAGCTGCAACAACACATCTTATAGGAACACATTATATACTTGGTAACACTTCTGGAGATTTCTCTGGGCTTAAATCCTCAGTGGTTTTGTCAGCAATGATTTTCTTTGTTGGAAAACGATTGTTATTTTTAGACATTTCTTGTCATTGTTAAAGAATCAATTTTTTTTAATTTTGTTTTTTAGTAGTAATTATTAAATTATTTCTAATATTAATTGTCGCAGCTGATGTTGAAAACGGCTGATGCTGAAATTTTAACCATTTTATTATTAAATTTTCAAAATTTTTTTTGGGTGTATTTTTTTAGTCTTTATATAATAGTTTGATTAGAGTTTAGGGTCGGGTTTATTGATTAAAGTGTATAAATAGGTTTTATAGTTCTAAATAGGGATCCAAAATTTCATCATCAGTTGCGACATTAATTTATTTCAAAGATTTATTAATATACATTATAAATTAAAAATATATATAAAAGACATAATTCACTATTCCTAAAAATTACTTTCCTAAAACGAAAAATAGTATTATATTATGAAAATTAGAACATGATCATGTAGGAAACTTCACTGCCTGGTTTTAATAATTAGAATAAAGGTATAATTACCAGAAGAATCATTTGATATTTAATGGCATCCTAAAAATGTTGGTTTTTTTATCATCAACAGCACGATATGCTTTTTTTATTAAAAATAAGTAGCTAAATAGAAATTATAAATACTTTAACACATTTGCACATAAATAAAATAGACTGGGTTAAACACGTACTGTAAATTAATAAAATCCACAACGTGGATCTCTTTATGGTTAAAATCACGTTTAAATATATTTTTATTATGCAAAAACAGAATGTAGTCTACGTACATGGCTGAATTTTACTAAATTACAGCGCAGGTTTCACCCTGTTATAATAAATTAAAACCTTTAAACTTTTTAATTATAGTATAAACATTTTAAATGTAATTGATTATGTTAAATTTTATTAGATAGCATAATATACTGTCGAAATCCATCTTTTTCTTAATATTTTAATTTATTATACCAAAAACAATGGATATTTGCTCTCATCTAATATATTTTTTTTAAAAAATTATATAATTACTTAATGTTCATATATTCTCCATAGAGATGGGGGAAATAAAAAATTTTCATTTCAGCATGCACACGTGCATGCATGCATGAATGTTTTAGCCAAAATTATGATTTAATTTCTTAATGCTGGCCAGAATTAATTGCATGCTTTGCATATCATGCATGCAATTTGCCCATCGCCAATAAAAGTTAACTACGTACTTGATATTTGATTCATTTCTCGAATAATTAATCTAATTTATAATGATAGGATAGAAGTAACTTACATTTGATTCCATTCTCGATATTAGTATTCAACATATGTGATAGAATTTCCCATCTCAGTAGTTCTTTAAACATAAATGAATGTCTTGTTAACGATATTTAATCTGAGATATTATTTAGCATCATCCACCTCTTCCAATTTTAATAACAAATAAATGCGATTTTTAATAAACAAATGAACTCTTTTAACCCAATTCATCTTTATAGCAATTGCCAAGCGTCAATATTCCTCAGCACTGCCGATTTTTTATAATAAAAAAATTAGCTTCAGGTTCAATGCTAAAAGTTAATTTATATAAGCCTGTTAATTTTATAGATAGTTTTTTTTTTATAATAAACTGATAAATTAATAGGAAAAAAAAAAATTCGTTGCTGATGAAACTTTATCAGTCACACGATTTGTCACGCAGATCAGGGGGGTAAATTTTTTACTATGTAATTTGAGTGATCGACATTCATAT